GGAAGGCCAAACAAAGTAGTTTCGCTTTCACAACGAAACACACAGCGTCACACACGGTGGCCTACAGTGAGCAGAGGTGGCGGGCTTGAGAAAGGGCGCGGCCGGTGGATTCGACGAAGGAGCGTTCGGAGGGTTTGCGGCAACCACATGTGACGACCCCGGGCTAGACTCTGCTTCGTCCACGGTGAAAGCCGATCCGGCGATCGACAGCATGAAGTTGAAGTATTTCCTCAGCGACCAGCACGGATCAGCTCTAGGCATGACGAAGCGATATCATGCACCAAGAGCTTGTAACACTGCAAAGAGAAAGGAAAATTTGAAATCGCATCATATGACCCCTTTAATACAAGTTCAGTTCTATACACTTACAGTGATACTTGTACAATGGAAATCTATTGCACTGGGATAAACATTAACTGTTTATAAAGCATAGACACCAAGCTTATATATTATACATTACTGTTCAGAAGAATGGGGTCAGATTTTTTTTTTTGGAAAGAAATCAATACATTTATTCAGCAAAGATCTGTGGTTTTCAAACTTTTTTTAAGAGCAACCCTATTTTTTTCTTTTCAAATTGACGCGGCCCATATATACAACCATTTACATGCATCAAGTCAAGCATAGATAGATAGATTAGTTTATTACAGTTTATCGCAATCTCAGAAAATTCCTTTATAATCAACGAATCTCTCTACATTGCAATATTAATCTCTTATTTACAAAGAACTCAGGACTGAACAAAACCTCGGCATTTTGAACAGTGAGTGTTTTCAGACTAACTGAAACACCTCTGATTGGCCATTGCGTTCCAGAAATCAACAGATATGTCTGTGATTCGCTACAGTGTTCAACGCTGTAAAAACACGTTGTGAATAGAAACCTTTGATGCTCTCCTGAGCACAAACACAAATACGCACTGGAGTCTGCCGCTTACTTTCGTTGTGTTGTTTATGTTTTTGTTATTAAAGTCACGTTTGCCGGTTCCCTCCTCCTTCTTCCCTGAGTCTCGTACTTTGTTACATACATACATACATTTTCCTTAAGTCATCCTTGTGACCTATTTTTAAGTCTCGCGAATCAGGGTTTGAAACCACTGCATTAGATTGATCAAAAGTGACAGTAAAGACATTTATAATGTTACAAAAGATTTATATTTCAAATAAATGCTGTTCTTCTGAACCTTCTATTCATTAAAGAATCTGACAAATAAAATGTATCACAAAATCTGAAGCAGCACAACTGTTCTTGAGCAGCAAATCAGCATATTAGAATGATTTCTGAAGGATCATGCAACACTTAAGACTGGAGTAATGATACTGAAACCAGCTTTGTCTCAGTAAATTTTGAATGTAAAAAATTAGATTTTACTTTTTTTTTTTTAAATTTGATTTTAAATGATTTTGCTTTGTTGAGCGACATTTCTTTCAAAAAACATTTAAAAATGTTGTACAGTTGTATATGCTGGCATGTTAGCATGAGAAATGAGACATTGTCGATCATGTCACAAATGCTATAGATAGAGCTTAACTTCCTTTGCTGTAGATAAGCTAATTCCATTGTTTCTCTCTGTGTGTCTCTGTACAGCTGGTGTCTGCAGACGGCTCTCATGGCTCTGACGGCGGTTCAGTGTGTGCAGACTCTCAGGCCGATCTGCCGCCCCCGCCGGAGAGGACAGGAGGCATCGGAGACTCCAGACCCCCTTCCTTCCAGTCAGTAACCCCACAGCTGTCCCGCACTGTCTCTTTCTGTGTGTGTGTGTGTGTGTGTGTGTGTGTGAGAGAGAGTGAATGTGTCTATTAAATTGTACACCAACAGACCAAAATAGTGCATATTCAATCGATATTAGTAGTGATGCACCAAAATGAATTTTTTACAGAAACCAAAATTGAAGTTTTCATTTAGTATTCCAAATACTGAAACTGTGGAAGTAACGTTTATGTAATAATCAATCAATGAATTAATTAAATCTATTTAATAAAATCAACACTCCAATAAAAACGTAGTTCTTTACAAAGATTTAAATTTCACATACAGCAGTTTTTATAGCAATTTTCTATAAAAACTATTATGTTTATAATAGTTATCAGCCCGGATCGGTGATCGGTCGGTCAGTCTCACTTCTTTCCGATTCTGAGCCGATCTGATCCGTTTTGTTACCAGCGG